AGTGATTTGATACAAGATACAATACCGTTGTATCCTTCGAAGTGCATTGATTAATTAAGGTGACTAAAGTGACTTAATTAAGGTGCTTAAGTATGGTGGTTTTGAGTTACAAGTTTGGATTATAAACTGTTGTATATGTTGTATCTGAAGTAGATACATAAAATTAATTTTTCGAGAATACAAGCATATCTGCTACAATAACCGGTAGTGGTTCTTTTCACTGAGTTCTCCAAAATGTGCATTAGTTAGATCATTGGTACAAGCGACATGCTACTGGTAGCAAGAGGAAACCCCTTCGCAAGAAGAGGAAGTTTGAATTGGGTAGACCAGCACGAAATTGGGACCTCGTAGAGCTCAAACATAGAGCTTTAAAGCTTTAGGTAATTTTGCTGTGGGAATAATGAATTGGTCCATGTCCATACCAAAACTTTGGTAAAAAACGTGATTGTTGTTATTGAAAACTGGGAAGGTAGCGCAACATCTGAGGTATGTCAATGTGCGTGACATTGGTTTTGCTGATAATGACGTTGAGCAGCTCTGGGTTTTGTTGTCATTCATGCCTAAAAGTTTAGCTTTCGGGTCTTTCGTTAGCTTGAGTGTATAGGTCTTCAAGTTCAAATGTGCAAAAATGTGTGTTCAAATGTGATATAAATATGTTTGATTTTGATAGAGGAGCCACAATGAGATTTAATATATTCTTAAACGAATTGTGTCTTGATCAGGTAATTAATTTACTCACTAGAACCACCACAACTTTGGTTTCTCTGATTGATTGTTTAATTACGGACCATTCAGAGACGGACCTAATCCAATGTGATATAGTCTTTTCAAGCTTGAAGTCCGCTCCGATGGTCAGATTGTGCATTAATGTATCTGGCATAGGTGACTCCGTCTTAAGTCGTGATCTCGCTTGTTTGCCTCTTCATAACATCTATCATATGAGTGATATTAATCAAAAAGTAAATTTCTTAAGCCCCCATCTGTCGATACTGTTGAATCTATATAGATGGTGCCTCCTCTTAGGATCGCTAAGCCCTTCTCTCCATGGATAACGCCCAATATTACAGCAATCTCAGAGAACATGCTCTGGCTAAATATAGGAGAATAAAACTAGCCCCTCATTTCGATTACTACAAATCTTTGAGAAATTTAGTTACATCGGCAATACGTCGTGAAAAAAAAGTTTATTTCAATAGTACATTTTAAAATGGACCTTCAGTGTAGTTGGAGGCTTTTAAATACACTAAGCGGCATAAAAACGCATCACCTAAAATGTGTCCACATAGTGTCCCAATACCTGGATGGTTTGGATATCAGCAGAATGGAGTGGCCTGCACGTGGCCTTGATTTAAACCCCATACACATGTGGGATATGCTAGGGAGACGAGAATAGCGCTAGAAGAAGAGTCGAACCAGATTTTTAACATGAAAAACCTGAGCCGAAGTATGTCTCTAAGGATGAGAGGACCCATTCAAGCGAGGGGAAGAAACACCCGTTAGTAACATTTTGCTTGATTTACTTGTCACAGTTTAACACACTACAGTACATTTCATCGACATCTATGACTTGCTTTAATTTCCGATCTCGCTGCCGAACAAGCTGCGTTATCTTTTAGAGCTTGCAACTTTGGTGTAAACAACAATAGAAACTTGAACAATAAACAGAAATAATCAGAACAAACAAGACTACAAGCTCCTTATGTTTAAAATTAATATCTTTTGTCGGTGCACTACATAGCAAGCTTCAAAGTGTAGGAAGAAAAAACGCATTAGCGTTATGCACCATTGCTGAAATTGAAGATATACCAAAATGAGGAAGGCGCGTACAAAAATATTGGCACAGGGTAGACCTTTCATTTTAGGTGATGCGTTTTTTATGCCGCTGAGTATACGTTGAAAATTAATGATTATTGGTTGATTGCCTTCAGAAATCAGTATTCTTCTAGTTCTTTCCAAAGTCTTAGAAAGTTGTATGAAGGTTCAGCTGCGTACTTACATGGATGAACACAATGTGTTGCCTCCTTTTCAATCCGGTTTTCGACCTAGTTATAGTTGTACCACCGCCTTATTAAACGTCACTGACAATCTCTTGAAGGCTCGCGATGATGGTCAGAGTGGAGTGGTTGTGCTCCTAGATTACAGCAATCCTTTTGACAGTCAACCACCGAATGCTGTTATCCCTCTTGCATTATGTTACTATATCTGATTCGGCAGTGTCTCTTATAAACAGCCCTTAAACGTGGAGGCTTGGGTGCCTCAGGAATCTTCTCAGGAATCGCTACTATTTACTCTATACACCTTTCAACTGCCAAAATGCGTCAATACGCATGTACACTGATGATATTCAGCTGTATTTGACTTTTCAAAGAGAGCACTCTGCCTTGAAAGCTTTCATGTTAGATATATATCTTATCATTTTTACTAAGTCATTTCTTTTTCTTTTTTTTAAATTGTATATAAGTAATAGAAAACACTTGTACGGTGTACATGTACATAAGAATAGGTTAAAGTAGAAAAGAAAATAACAGGAGAGAACTCTTGTAAAAGCCTTTCAACATGCAAATCCGAGGTTAGTAGTAGGTGCTTTATTATTATTGCGCCCCGAAGTTCGCGGGCGTTGAAAAATGGCATCGCACTAAATCTACGTGCGGTTCTCAATCGAATTTCCGCAAACTTCCGCACATCCATCTAGCAGGACGGGTCGGTCGAGTAAGTGCCTGCTGCGGCAAATTTTGCCGGGTGCAGGAAGAGTGAAACAAATTCGAGTCATTCGGCAGCGACCTGGAATGCCCTGAACTTGACGCTAATAGCACCTTTTCATATAACCTGGAAACGCGGTCCGCCCACTCGCGGAAACTGGGTACTATTAATTGAAATATATCGGCACTTTAGCACGCGATTCACGCTCGGCCGGTCAGCGCAGATGGCCTCATAGTTTATAAACTAAGCGACGTAGATAAATTTTCGTGTGCGTGCAAAGTTTTTATCTGCCTTGTCTAGCCGCCGTTGCGTTTATCTAGATTCGGCGAGACGTGGAAAGGCGCTATCAGATTCTGCCGGTGACACCTCTGTGGGTAATTACAGAATTTCTGCCACCAAACGACGATTTTCTTCCCGATACGGCGTTACCGCGATCTTAGATCCGCTCTCTTACGGACATCGCACCCAGATGTAAGCTCGCTAGTCTTCCAACTAGAAATTTCTAGTGACCTCTTGAGCTCGGCTCGTTCGGCGTGAATCCATTAACTGTTTCGTTTGTCGTTTCAGCAACACCTCAACCTGGTAATGGCAGCATCGTGACATCACCGTCGGTTAGAACAGTGTTCCAAGGAACTGTCGACTCGACGACGTCTTAAAATGGACAGAACACGAGTTGTGAAGATCACGAATGTATCCATCGCACACTTCCTACTCTCACTATGACAGGTGTTTAGCAATTAGCGATGAGCGACGAGTTTCGCTCCGTTAGATGAGGTGCAGCTCGTCGTCTTTGAGATTATTCCTTTGGAAACGCACTCTCAATCCCAGGGTTTGTTATCTGCCCCATTTATCTAATTGAGGAAGTCCCCGTAAGGTAGCCAAGCCGCGGAAGCACGCTAAACGGTAACATGCCCAGTGGCCAACTACTAAGAGGCGGCTTGCGAAAGCTGCAGATTTTATATCTTGGAGATATCGCGTTTGATGTTCCCCCGACATATGAAGAGGCCATCTTTATATAAATTAATGATCGACGTGATATAAAATAACGCTATTAACTTAAGCACCATCATACACAAATACTTTACCGCAACGGCAAGCACGATAAAAATAACTTTTATTTCTACTTTAATTAAGTTTACTTCGAAACAAAGAGAAACTGGAATTATATACGAAGAACCTTGAAACCATCCCTAAACCACCTTTTCAATTTCTGAATTTTATTACATCGCACGAAGCCGTTACAACGATATTAAATTAAGTGTTAACGCGTTTCATAATGCCAAATGTCGCTGTATAATTTAATTGTGACCGTAAACGTTTGGATATGATGCTCTCGGTGTTGGTGTTAAACTCCCTCGATTCTGGTGACACACAAGAAAAAGACGAACAATAAAGTGTTGATAGTTGCATGCGATGTGATCGAAAATCCTTGGGCGAGGGCCTATTAATATTAATTGAATCTTTTAATGCACATAAACGCGTCGCATTTATATGTTAAGCACCATGTAACGCGTTGCCAGTAGTTTATCGTTTTAAATTGATTGTAAACCGAGCAATAAATCCAATAGGCGCGTTGTTGTTCGAACGATCTATGCTTGACAGGAAAAGGTTATCAGTTCACCACAACCACACGTATAAATATTGAAACAATACAGCGGCTGATTAAACTCTAAACCAGTGTACGTTCGTAAGTAACCTTTAGTTTGCTTTATAAGTTCGCTTTATACAAACCGGTATAAATCGTTAGGTGAAAGGTTATATTGAATTTAGAACTCCTCAGATCTCGGTGAGCAAATAAAATGAAACGAGGGCCAGCAGCGATCGTTCCAGAAACGGGGTAAAACATAGTGGAAAAATCATTAGCGAGCTCAGCAGAGGTGAAAATTGCGCCGATCTTCAGCGATAAATGTTCCAGGGAAGCAAAAAAGGGTTTCAAGGGGAAGTTTTCTTTGTTGGCTTAGAACATATGTGTTCGTTTTGTTTGGCAGAGTCCTCTTTTAACCTGGGTGTACGTGCCCTGGTTATTCTTGTTACGGTAAATTCTTGTTACGACAATGATGTTTCAGAAGAAATTCAACTAAAAACACCGCTAAAATAGAAGCGGGAATGCGATCAAAGTGCCTTTAAATTTAAATTTAAAGTCTCCTAAATAGATTCTTTGATGTACGTACAATTAAAACGAAAGAGAACCTTTGTTCTTTTATAAACACTCGCCGAACGACTGAAAATGAGGCCGTACAGTGAAAAGTTATTGTAATTTGTGGTTAACTTTGAATTAAAACAAAGTTCAAAAAACTCACCATGAAGCAATCTGGTCCTTGGAGGCACATCGATTCCCCATTTGGCCCATCATTTGAAAACTAAAACAAAAAAATTTATAATTATAATACGAAAACAAAAGTGATTCATAAAAAAATCATTCGAGGTGTATGAATATGGTTTCGAAGTTGTCTAGGAAATAAATAATTCCATTAGAAAAGTGTCGATTATGTCTACCGCCAGACATGAATAGGTACAACAGCCGATAATCGTATTTGATAAATTTCATTAGTGCATATTTAACGAGGTTAAGAAACTCTCTAACGGCATATTTAAAACGCATTTCAAGATAAATTCACAAATTAATAAAAAAAAGAGATTGTACTAGTAGCAATTAAAAGCATTCGTGAAACTAGTTTCGCTTCGTTCGATATCATTAACCAACCTAACGATTCGAAGTAAATTCCCCAAAGTAATACATTATACTGCGACCGATAAATAATTTTTAATTGAAAGTTTCTAATTGGTCGTAATTGCAGCTCTGCGGACGTTAAATCAATAAAGTAGACGTTAGATTATGGCCGATTGCGTTGCCCTACATAATTATGAGATGCGCTGGAAAACTATCATCAAGGCCACGCAATTATTTATATCGATTAAAAATATTAATATGAAGTACTTGATCAACGTTAGAGAATAATAAATTTTTAAGTTATACTATTAATATTATCTATTTAATACATCAGAGTATATTTGAATATAAATGTTAGCATTTATAGATAGAATTCAACTTGGGTTATTCCCCAATTTGCTATATTTCATGTTCATAGTTAATTTTAGATAAACTTGGGGTATTCCCTGAGTTGTATATTTTTCATTGAACTAAAACTAGAACTAACATTAGATCTAGAACTAGAAACATTCGGGTTTAGCCGTCTCAAGAGACGCTCGGTTTCTTTGCTGAGACCCAATGCCTAACTTAATATTTCATCGAAGAACTTCCTATCTTGAACTTTCTTTTTGAAATTTCGAGCCATCATACTTTTCATCAAACTGCCAATGTTTATTATACTTCTTTTTAAATCTTCTCCGTAATATGCATAAAAAATCAATTAAATTAAATCAATTAACTAAATTTTCCAAAAGTTTTTCAAAATAATACAGAGATACATAAAAGTTGTCAGCAGTTTTGATTAAGTTCAAAAAATTGTAGCTCAAAAACTAAAAAATACGTTACAAAACGGACTTCATTAATGAAAAGTGGGTGCTTCAATTAATAGATGACAATCTAGTAACAATTCTCCAAGAATTTATAAGTTTACTCTAAGAAAACTTGATAAATCAAAAATTTCGATTCTATTTCAAAATCTAAAGATGATTTTTGAAAGCGGACTTTTTCATTAAAAAGTGCATATTTTCCATGACAATTCGTGCCAACTTATTTTCATCATTAACTCACCAAACCAGACTTTGAGTACCAACTTTTGGTTTAATGTTGTAACTTGCACGGTTGAATCAAAAAGTAAAACTGATTTTTCAAAACAGACTTATTCATCGATAAATAAAAGCTTTCAATTATAATTGGTGATAATTTCAGAACAGTTTTCCATGAATTTTTAAACATTAATGCAGTAAAACCTCGATATAACGGATTAATACGAGAAGGGAGTGTCCGTTATATGAAAAATGATTAATTTGCACCTTAAGCTGTTTGAATGAATAATTTTAACACTAATGCTAGAACCAACACTAAATCTAGAACTAGAATCATTCGGATTTAGCCGTCTTAAGAGACTAACGGCTTAATCCGAATGTTTCTAGTTCTAGGTCTTGAGTTGGTTCTAGTTTTAATTCAATGAAAATATTCTAGTTTTAGGTCTTGTGTTAGTTCTAGTGACAGTACTAGTATAAAACTAGAACTAACACTACGTCTGAAGACGCACGGCTAAACCCGAATGTCTCTAGTTCTAGGTCTAGTGTTAGTTCTAGTTTTAATTGTGATTCAGTTCTAAGTTGTTATATATTTTTATTGAACTAATACTAGACCTAGAACTAGAAACATTCGGGTTTAGCCGTATTAAGAGACTAACGGCTAAACCCGAATGATTCTAGTTCTAGGTCTAGTGTTAGTTCTAGTTTTATATTATTAGAACTAACACTAGACCTAGAACTAACACTAGATCTAGAACTAACATTAGACCTAGAACTAGAATCATTCGGATTTAGCCGTCTTAAAAGACTAACGGCTAAACCCAAATGTTTCTAGTTCTTGGTCTAGTGTTAGTTCTAGTTTTATATCATTAGAACTAACACTAGACCTAGAACTAGAATCATTTTCATCACTCAGAAAAGATTTGTTTTCTTCTGATTTAGTACACTATTGATTTAGTTGGGGTTATAAGTGACCTCAATTACGCTTAGGATCGCCATTGACCCCATGATATTATAAGGCTGAAGAAGATGTATACTTTATTTAAACAAAAACTTTCACCTAACCCTCTTAATATGGTCGTAAATCTTGCCGTTCGCACCCATTACTCTAATTAACGTCAAAGTAAAACAGTATAAGCCATTAGAGAAACGCAGCAAAGAGAAACTTAACTGTCAAAAAGCAAGCGTAGCCTGAACGCAGCAAAAGTTCTTATGCCGCCGCCAATTCGCGGGCCTGTGCATTAGGGCCATTATCCCGCGGCAGGTTATTATTACCGGCTAATTTCGTAATGTGACTTTAACGATTTAAACTTTGCGTCGCAGTCGGAGGCAAAAGCGAGGGGGGATCGGTGGGGAAAACAGGTCCACGTAGGGAAATCTGACCTTAACGTTACGGTGCAGGCGCGCTTTATAATTAAACGTATGTCCTCGGTATACCTACGTAGGTACAATCGTCTAGAGACGCGTACGTGCAACATCGAGTGGCCGTCACGCCGTTTTATTTATCTACGGCATTGTGCCTCTCGTCCCGCGTACATTATTGCCGACTTGTTTGCACAAGAACCGCTCGCACCATAGGACAAGTCGTCGCTTGTTGTTGGCGAGTCGAAGACGTTGGACAGCTGTGATTGAACGGCGACGGGGCATCTATCATCGTTTCGAGACACGATTTGCATAAGAGAGCCTTGATATCTCAATCGATAGGGGAGATAGCAATTTTAAACACAAATCTGTACTTATGCTTATACACGCAACGAAAAGACGCAAAATAATCACTTCATAATAAATTTTATTGTTTATTATGAAGAGAATATTCGTCGAAATTACCAATTTGGTTTTAACGTGCAAAAGTTGTACTTTTCTTTAAATTGCAACAGCTGTTGGAAGATTATATTTTGAATCATAAAGTAATCATAGTAATTGGAGGAACGTGTATAAGGGCCCACAAATTGGGAGAGCAGTTTTCGGGCGGTTTTTATTTATTTAAATTGTCGCGATTAACAGCTTGGGACGTTGGTTCGGGTCCGGGAGGGGCCTCGATTTATATGTAAGAATGCCGGTCGACAATTGTCCATAATAACAGGGGTTTCAGCTATTAAGCCGTGGCGTTCGGACGTTAACCACCACGCACCCGACTTGCCCATTAACATGCTAATATCTAGAGAATTCATTACCGGTGCCCACGGCCACATACCGTAGAGGACGACGGTTGGGAAAGATTTACAGTACCAGGCTAGAAACGAAAAAGAAAAAATCCAACATCATCGAAAAAATGAATCGTGTTCGCGGCGTTGGGGATCCGTTTGAAACATCAAAGTGAGAGCAAATTATTTAACAAGTTTAGCGTTCCACATACTGTGGTGCCGCCGTGGCTATGGTCACTGACGGTACCATCAAAGGGACAGCGCGACAGATGGGGTATTATCCTTTGTATCCCACGCGAGACCGAATGTTTAAACATCGTCGAGGGTTGTGTTTACACATAACAGCCCCCGGTATCAATTTGAATACGCATCAGGCCAGAATGATTTGAAAACGGTCGGCTAATATTCGAAAATTCTGCGGCCGTACTGTCTCTCTATCCCTCCATAATCCCACGGGATTATCGTCAATTGTGAAAAACGGCATCAATATGCATTGGTTTTTGCTTTCTCATGGAAATTTCCTCCGAGATAATTGAATTACCTACTTTAACCAAGCGTCAATTTGAGTTATTTTTTGATCAGTTATGATATTGAGGGAACTTATTTCAACGATTTGGCATTGAATACTACTTTTAAATAAAGTTTTTTTTTTAAAGAACAGGTTCATTTACAACCGGAGGGTAAGTTACAAAGTTTGTTCGTGTTTCCCCAGGAGAATTCGTCGTTAGTAATCTATCCTTGTATTCTCGAAGGATTTTGTCTTTAAATCTTGCAAAAAATCTTTTTTTGTGCCATAATTAGACAAAACACGTTTTTTTTCAAAAAGGAGTATATCTACCTATCGTACTATTAATTAAGTAATCTCTATTAGGAGACTTTGTTGGATTTTGTTGATCACAAATTCAAATACTATGGAAATCACGAAATAATATTGAACAGGGAAGAAGAAGCATTCTTCGAGCGAGGTTGCATGAGATTGAGGGGCAATCGCAACTCTTGACTACAAAACATGATGTAGCGCCTCGCTCGCAAGCGACCTCGGCTTATATCAGAAATTGTTGACGAGGCGTAATAAGGAAACACTTAAGGATAAAATGGTGATCGAAGTGACGTCTTAACACATTCGCTACCATGCTTAGTCTCTTTGATTTCGGGATTCAGGTTTGTGTTACTTACATGTTGGTTTATTGTATATGACGTTTTTACTAAATTTTTGTAAAAAAAGAACTAGTCCAGTTTACTGGACTTTGAATTTCTAAGTTCTGTACCAAGGTCCAATCAACTGGACACACCTGAATTTCTTCAAAGTCTCTGTTTTCTTTTTCTACATACAACGTAATGTGTTATACAAACCAAAATATATCCCAAATTCAAACTACAATTTTGAAACTTCGGTAATATAATGCTTTATTATCAACTAAGAAACGATGTTTCCGCCGAAAAAACTCAACTGTTATGTTTCCTGTACCATTGCTATCTCCAACTTTCAACATTTTCTTCCTAGCAATTAATGAATTTCTGCCTAC